TGGCAGGCAGTGGTCGGTGCGGAGAGGAGCTGCAGCGGGTCTTTCGTAGTGGCGTTAGTCACCCAGCAGGCCGACGGAGGGAGGAGGGTTTGGCCTTTCCGTGTGCAGGACGAGCGTGGGGCTCTCGCTAGCACGTCCAGACCTGCGGAGGAGACAAGAGGAACCCATGGCAGTGACTGTTCCGAGCAGCTCCGTGGGCCTCTCTTCATCCTCTTGTGGAGCTTCTCTTTGGGCTTCCAGCATCCGCAACACCCTCTGTCAGGAGTTAAACCTCCCACCCATTAAGAACCATCTGCTTGTTTGTCTGAAGATGGCTTCTAACTCATTTAATGCCCTACTTCTAGTACTGGAAGAGACCAAACCATCAAGGAGAAGCCTGAGGAAACCAACCTTTACAGTGCTGTCCACAGCGCCGGAGAAGAGGCGGCCCCTGGAGACGGCGAGGGCGGTGACGCTGCCCTGGTGTCGCAGCAGCGTCTGAGTACAGATCATGTTGTCCATGCTCCACACCTGTGGGCACACAGGAGGCGTGAGTCAAGCGAGCGGCACAGGGCTCTGGCACAACCCCGAGCACCGGCACGGACAGGGGATGCTGTGTGCCACAGGGTTCGAGCCAGATGCCACAAATCAAACACGAGGCCACATGGCATGCAGGGATGAGGACCCCCCGTCCTCCCTTTCCCTCGAGGCTGTCTGTGTTTTAACGACAGAGCCAAACACACAGACGCAGCTGCACAGCCCTGCACACGTACCCTGAGAGACCGGTCATACGATGCACTGAAGACTTTGGTTTGATCTGGCGTGGAGATGACAGCAAGGGCGTAGACCGTACCCACGTGCCCGGTCAGTGTGCGGACTTGTTCCTTTGTCTCTATATCCCAGACCTGTCAGAGGAGAGCAGGGCTCGGAGATTGCACTGGGCTGCAGGTCCCGAATTCTCCTCCGAGAGGTGTGCCCACCTCCACGCACACCTCTGGGGTGGGTGCTGTGCAGCCATGCTCCGGGTGTGCCACAAAGGGCACCGGCAGAGCCAGGCCCCCATCTCCTTGCCTTTCTCCCCCAGTCTCAAGCCAACCAGCGCGTCGAACCCCGCAGTCCTTACATGGATGAGGTTCTCGTAGGTGCCACACACAATGTGGTGGTTTGTCACAGCGATGGAGTAGACGCTGCCTCCTGACGTCTGCAGCACGTGGACGCACTCCAAGTTGCGGATGTCCCAGATCTGAAAGAGATGCCGGAGCAAAGGCAGGATGAGACCCAGGAGGGAGCTCCCTTGAAGCTATTCTCCAGCTTTGCACAGAGTCAGCCTGGCTCCGTGTGTGCCCAGATCACATCTTTAAGAACAAATCTATCCAGCTGGGAATCTGCAGTACTGATGAGCAAAGTCTTGCTATCTTATTTGGTTGCCCAGCTTTGAACATCCAGGCTGAAAAAGTTGTGGAAATGGCACTCTCTTTGTGTGCGACCACGCACACACGTGTGCACGCACAACCCAGTCCTTGATAGCACTAAAAACTGATGCAGACAAATGACATGGATGTAATCTGCCCTGAGGAGGGCAACTTGAAATTCTCTCGTGTCACCCAGACGCTGAGAGGTGAACTATTCATCAAAGCCTCGAGCCAACACAGGTGAGGGCATTTCGCAAACCACACGCAGCCTCGTGGTAAGTCTGCAGCCAGACAGTGACCTTCTCTTATCAGCAGGGCTGTCGGTGCAGATAACGCTGCGGCAGCTGCGGGGGCAGCGCGAGGTGCCAGGGCGGTGAGGCTGCGTTTGTCTGAGCGAGCATCCCCCGGCAGCTGCGCCCCCAAGGACCAGCCAGAGCCCAGCCTTTGTGCCTGCAAAGATGGAATCAGCGCAGCAAAACCCAGTGTGTCAGCAACGCCACGGCAGTGCTCTCGCATCCCAGCAGCTGCCTTTTGTCCTGCTCCACCAACCCGTGCTGCAGGATACAGATACGTAGAGGCACGGGGAGAGCCGTGACTTACAGTTGCCACAAGTCTCAGGGGCTCACCTTGATTGTTTGGTAAGATCCACTGTAGAGATAGTTTTGAGAAGCCACCAGCGCTCGCACCCAGTGATTGAGACCTGTCAGCTCCTTCTTCAGTTTGAGCTCGGTACCTACAATATCCCAGACCTGTGGAAAGCATAAACGGGCACACGGTCATGGAGGAGAGTCTCAGTGGGTCTGGGCAGTGATGGGGCAGAACAGGTCAGGCTCCAGCTCGGGGGCCAGGCGCTGCCCACCCCTGCCCACCCACCCAGCACGGGCTCTGAGAGCTCTCTATGGGGAACCTTGTGCTGGGTCTCCTGCCCGGTGAGAATCACCTGAACCCACTGACTTGCAGATAAAACACACAATAACTATGCTGAATAAGCATGTTCCCTGCTTGGAGAGCTCGCTTGGAGCCTGCATTATCACTGGCAGAGACCCTTTCCTAGCAGATCCATGGGCTTGAAAAAACCTAATCCAAATTGGCAGTAAAGAACTGCTCTGGACTTCCACTCCCAGCCTGTCCCCACAAAGCTCCACTCCCACAGCTCCTGGGAAACCCTGCCCAAAACCCCCAGCCCGCAGAGACGTACGGAGCTCACACCGCCGCTCGGAGCCTGCTCGGCTCATCTGGCAGAAAGTGGCTGCAGACAACAAAAGCAGAAGGCCCCAAGTTCTCCTTCTGCTTAGTGCTGTCTCGTTGCTCCTCCAGCCCCAAGCGCTCGCTAGATAGCTGAAGCACTCCAGGCCCCAGACCAAGAAAAGAGCATGCGCCCTCTTACAGATGGATGGTCCCATAAGCCGTCTCGCCAGGAGCTGGAAGCAGAACCAAGGGAATCTAGCCAAGGCTTTAAAGGGCAACTTGCAAAGCTGTTCCCTGGTTTCTGCATGCTTTAGGTAACGAATGCAGATTCAAGATCCTTTGGAGGGGGTTTCAAAACAGGCAGCCCCAATCCCCAGCCAATTCTGGACCGCAGAGGCAATTCCCAATGGTCTGAGTAGGTTCACTGGGGGCCCGAGGACACAGGTGCTCAGGAAATGCCAAGATACTCTACTTGCAGACTCAGGTTTATAGAGTCAGAAGAAACAAAAGTCACTTTTCCAGCCAGATCTCAGAACATCTCTGACTACAGCACAGAGCACGGACTAAGCCTCTGCAGTGCTGGCTGCTCTGTACAGCTGTGCTTCTCTGTGTGGCTCAGGAGAGCGTAGCAACAAGGTCACCTACAGACCAAAATGCCACTTTCTTCCTGTTTGGACACTGCTGCCTGACAGTTTGTACCATCAATCCCCAACCAGACCAAGAGGAGCCACCCCAGAGCTCTACCTTGATGGCTTTGAGAGAGCCACTGAACAGCATGTTGTGCGAGGAGACCAAAGTGCAAACAGGATTGTCATGTGCTCGGATCGTGTTCACTTTCTGCAGATTTTGAATATCCCAGACCTGCAAAGGAGAAGAAGAGTGCCCGTGAGGGGCAGGGGCAGTCCCCTTCTGCTGAAGCCCTTCCTCTTTGCCTCTGGAAGCAGGCAGTCACACACAGGGAAGAAACACAGGCAGGACAGGGCACCTGTAGGAGCCACTATCCTGGCCTGATCAGGACTGACCACCCTGCCCCAGCTCGCAGCACCAGCCTCCTGCTCCCCAGGCAGGAGCAAGGAGCAGGAAATCCAGCCTGCAGGAAACACCCAAATCCAACCCACGAGTAACTTGGCTGAAGGCAGTGGATAAAGCACACATGGCTTATCTGTCTTTCTTACACCACTGGCAGCTGCAGAGCCTTATGGAAAAAAGGATGCAGGTCCCTGCTCTACAACAGCCTGTAGGTCTCCCATCCCAACTGCGAAGCGGAGCAGGGGTCCTGGGTACTCACAATAATGGTGCAGTCAGCAGAGCCACTGTACAGCTTGTTCCTGTAATGTCACCAGAAAACAAAAGGAGGTCAGTGAGGGAGATCAACAAGTGCAGGGTCCCAGCTCGTTCCCAGGCACCGTGCTGGGCGAGGAGCTGCAGTCCCACAGCCTCACTGGGCCAAGACTAAACATGCCAACCCTAGGAGTGGAACCCAGGTCTTGTGGGGAGGCCAGGCTGGACTGGCCCTTCAAGCAAGAGGCCAGGCACCCCACTGGCGACCAGGGAAGGAAGCCTGGACAGCAGGGGAGGCCAAAGAGATAGGTGCTTTGTCGATTTTTAAAGAGCAAAGAGGCAAGATGTGCCTCTCGTGCACGATATTGGCACGTGCAGGACTGAGGATGGGAATGGCGACGGCATGATCAGGAGCCCCAGTGCTCTGCCCACTCCCTCCTGCAGGGGCAGGTGTCCCTTTCCACTCACCCCTGGATGCAGAGAGCCAGTACAATTCCATCGTGACCCTCCAAGGTCTTTTGGCACTTGTATGTGGTACAGGTATCCCACACCTAACAGGAAACACAAGTCAGCAGAAGGTCACATGCTGGCAGACAGAGCAGCTGCAGACCCCAGCAGGATGTCAGCAACGCCACAAAAGCACCGAAACGAGGAAACAGGCTGTCACCTGGGCACCAGCCTTCCGGGCTCCCGGGCAGAGATAAGCTTGTCTAGGAAAGGAAATTTACTGCAAAGGGTCAGGTTGAAGTTAACGAGACACTGGAGAGCAGCACAGCCCTCTCCCTTACTGCCTCCCACAGCCCCGGCCAACGCAACGCACTGAACCAGCTCCTGGGCTCCTGCTTTAGCAATTCATGCCCCGTCCGAGGGCTCTGGTGGCACAGCATGGCCTCCTCTGCCAGTGCCCACTGAGCACACACCGCTCGCTCAAGAGAGAAAACATGGGAGCGTGGTGCCCAGAGCAGCCAGGACAGTGGAGAAAGCTGTTTTCTTTCAGTAAAGTACAGGGATGTCCATTTTCTTCCATGTGTCTCCTGCTATCGCTCAAAGAAAGTAAAGCAAAGCTCTGCTGCTGGCAGGGCAGTCGTGGCAGCCGGCGTGGCGCCGCAGCCCGGCCAGCAGCCACCAGCAGCCAACGTGGTGACATTGGGAGCTGTCGTTTAGGTTGCACTGGAGCAGTGCTGTCAGTTTGAGTTACTGAAAACAGGACAAAGAAAAACAAACATGCCATAAAATGGAAAAAGGACGCATTTGATCAGGGAAAAATGTTTTTTTTTCTAAGATGACTTTTTGTAACGAGGGAAAATAAAACCAGGAGCTGAAATATGCTTGAATGCCTTAAACACCATATAAAGCAAAACCACGAGGGAATGAGATTCTAATTAGGGCTTTGCAAAACCCACTATTTGTCTTTTGATTTCACTATCACATAACGTTTCCTCAGAGAGAATTTTGCCCAACCATAACTGCAAAGAATCACCGAAGATTCTTTGGGAGAAACTTTGGGAAGTGACATCCTCCCACCCTGCAAACTGCAGCTCAGCTTCTGTCCCCCCTAAAGCACATCTACAAATGCTGAAGATACACAGCAGAGGGAAGCTCTTACCTTAATGGTTTTGTCTGAAGAGCCGCTGAAGAGCAAGTCTCCTATGGAATAAACGCACAAACACCAGACCGGGCCCTGGTGTCCCACAAAGGTCCCTTTGCATTTGAAGATCTGCTGAGGATCATAAGCTACAGAAACAAGAGGGCAGGTGAGAGGTGGGAGAAGAGTGCTGTGCCGTATCACAGCGAGTTTGGAGGAGACAGAGTTTGCTGCACTGGCCCACTGGGTCCTCCTTGCACTTCATGTTGTTGCAGGCCAAAAGGAACTGTGAGACCCTCCCAGTCTGGCTGGAGGGTTTCATGTCCCACCCTTACAGCTCATCAACTTATCACTGCTTTGAGCCCCAGGACCCGTTTCCCTAATGCAACTCCCTCCCTAGGGAGGCCAGAGATGCAGAGTCCACTTGACATCTCCCCCCAGCAGCTAACAACCCTGCAGCACTGCGAGTTCCCTTTCGGCCAGTGCTTCTGGCAAACTCTCCCACCAGTATTTTCTTCCCGAAGCAGCGGTGATCCTGTGAACAAATCACTGCTGCACCCAGAGACAACTGTGACCATGCCTAAAAGGGCTCACTGGGCGACGGACCCAAACCCAGCCTGAGAGGATGACAACCACATGCATACTCACATCCAAGGATGCCCATGTTGAGCCGAGCATTTATGTGGGAGAGTTCATCCTGAAAAACAGAACAAGCTGCATGAGCTGCAGGGTCATCAAGACCAGTCTGCCCTTCGGGGCATGGCTTTAAGACTGTCCCCCTCCACTGCTAAAACACTCTTGCCTTTGGACAGGTCTTGGCTCCCTGTGAAGGCCCTCCCTCAGCAGCTGACTCATCTTCTGATCAGTCATCTCCTGCTCTAGGACTGCACGTGTACATCCCTCTGTTACCTCCCTCCAGAGACCGTGGGGCTCTGACAGCATCTCAGACCTGCACTAAACTCCTCAGTATTCAGGCAGGCACAGAAATACCTTTCAGAATACACTGCCCTTGCTCTGCCATTCACCTGGCTGCTAAAAATAGTCAAATTGGTTATGGGCACTGCTTGCTCAGCTGAGCTCTGGAAGCCCACCTTGCTGGAGAAGAATTAGAAGCTCTCTTTGTAGTCTCCTCCACAGCCCAGTCCCTACTTCATCCATGGGGAACCTCTTTGTTAGGATGCTTAGGCAAAGCAGGGTGAGGTCCGCCTGATCAGTACACTCAGTGGGATGCAGGCTGCCTGAACTAGGGATGAATGTCTATCTAACATCAGTGTTTGAATAATGTCCAAAATCGTGAGACAGCTCTCATTCCCAGCCTGTTAGCAGGGATCTGCTTATCTTCCTGCTTCCTCTGCAGGCAAGGAGAAGGGCGTACTGTCCCCGGCTAGTATAAAAGGTACAGGAGTGGCCAGGCTTTGGAGTAGAGGGTTCTCTCCTTGTTGCAGGGGTCCTTTCCTCTGTTAACACATTTCCAGAGCAGCAACGGGCTGAGAAAAGGCAGTGGAGCCAATTAAACCAGCAGCCCAGATGCCGCGACCAGCATGTGCTCACTGAGCTGCCTTTGACTCAGCCTAGAGGAAACCTTCAGCCAGATCCCAACTGCAGCAGAAGCAACCAAACCTGGGGTGTGCAGAGCCAGCAAGCAGGAGGGAACCTCAAAGACTGCCCCCACTGCAGGAGAAGCCCAACTAGCAGCAGAGCCAGCTAACTGCGTGCAATCCCTACTCCACCGCGGGGCCCGGCCCCCTCCTCACGTTCAGCATGGAGGCGTCCCTGCGGAACTCCATCAGGTCCTCGCTCAGCTTGCTCTGGTTCTCGTCCAGCACATCTACAAGAGATGGACAGGCCCTTAGTCATTGCAGAGTTGGTGACAGCGTCCTGGGGAACAGGCAGAGGACACCCACTGCTACCTAACCTCTGAACAAGGAGGGAGGAGAAGGTACTGCTGTTAGCAGGGAAAAGCAGGAGGGTGTCTGCTACTCAAAAGCAAATTGTACTTCAGATGCTGAAGACTCAGCAAATTTCAAGAGCAAGACAGGGCTGGGCACAGCAAAGGTGTCCAAGAACCATGCTTGCTCCAGGATGGCTGCATTGTTGGCTATTTGACTCGCTGATTTTTCTGGAGGCCTGTGCCCATGGACTGCACAGGAAAAATTCACGGGAGAAAGGTGGCGACTGCCTGCAGGCACTTCTAGGACTTGCCCTGTGATCGGTGACGGCAGGATTGGGTCCCATGATGTTCTGGTAGCAGTGAAGTTGATGGAATCCCTATTTGTTCCTCTGCAAGGAATATGTGAACCTCCTGAAACCTGCTCAGCGCCGGTTTTAAACATGCAATGAATCTCGTAGTGCACCATCCTAACAAAGAGCTGCCCTGTCCCCACAGCTCTGGCCACAGAGCTCATCCGATGCAGACTCACCAAACTTAAGCTCCAGGTTCTTCTCCAGCTGGTCGATTTTCTCTGAGAGCTTCCCCAGCATGGAGCGCAGGAAGGCAATTTCCTGGTCCTTCTGTGCCATTGCCACCTGCATCTCATGGAAGCGATCATCTGTCTGCTGCAGGAACTCCTTCAGACCCTCAAACTTGCAAGTCTCCAAGTGGGTCTCATAAGTGTCTTGATTTCCTATGAATGTGCACCTAAAGAGAAAGGCAGATGCTGGCTGGAGCAGGGCTCACACTGGAGGCCTCCTTGCTCAGCTGGCTCCTCAGAGGGAGGTCAGAGGGCTGTGTGGGTCCCCAGCTGTCCTGCTTCTTTCACCAGGAGCAGTGGCACTGCGGTTCGCCATCCCGCTGAGTGCTGCCAACTGCAGGGCAACACAGAGCCAAGCAGCTGCCGTTCTTCCAGCCAGGGCATTGGCCCCAAACTGAACTGTCTGTCTGTCTAGGTGGTTGCAAGGAAAAGCAAGACACAGAATGTGGCGTCAGTTCGTGTGCTCTCCAGGAGCCCAATCTAAGAGCCACCAAAACCAATGGAAAAAACTGTAGCTGACCTCAGCAGGTGCTGACTTGGGCCTGCAGCATGGCAAGGAGTCAGTGCTGCTCTGTCAGGACTTGCCTTGCTCTGCTTCTGCCAAGACATGTCTTCCTGCAACAGTAACCTCAGCTGTGCATCCTGCAGGGAACCCCCAGCTCGGGCTGCGCTCCTGTTCGGGTGACAATCAACCCTCAGAGGCTGATCAGCACTTCCCTTGCCCCGGGAACAGGACTGGTTTGAAAGACACCACCATGGTGCTTCGTTACTCTTGTACTCATCCTCCTCCCTGCGTGGCTCTGGCCACATCCACTGCTCTGACTCTCCTCCAGCTGGTTCTTCTGCCTACGCACCTCACTCTCCTCCTCGGCTGACAGCAGGGCTTACAGCTGGGCAGCGTGACCTGCCTGTTCTCAGCACGGGGCTTGGGGGCTGCCTTCTGCAAGCCCTGCAAGCCTGACCTCCGTCTCCGGCCAGTGCACAGCACTGGGTAGAGCTGCTCAGAGCCCATGGGGCTATCCCAGGGCTGCAGTAGCCGAAAAGCAGCTCAGAAATGAGCTCAGTGCATCCTTCCCACTAAAAAGCATCAGCTCCTTACCCGTATTTGGAGTGGGGACACTTTATGTGCTCGCACTCTTTCAGATGTGCCTCCAGGTTCATTTTCAGGAGAGGTGGGCAGCTGGGGTTATTGGGGCAGCGAACCGGCCTGTAATCACAGCTGCTTTCATGATCTCTGCCCGTGGAGAGAAGCAAAAGGAGGGAAGATCAGCAATAAGCAAAAATTAATGGAAACAACACAGATCGTCAGGAAAAGAGCAAACCAGCCCTGTGAGACTTCAGATGATCGAAAGCTTCCTGCTCTAAGACTGCAAGTGCAGCTTTAAATTCTCATTTGGCCAGTAAGTTGAGAATAATAATAGGCCACGTTTACGCAGGGAACATCTACTTCTGCAGCTGCTCGGCTGAGCCTTCAGGCAGCTATCAGCAACAGGCAATGGCCAGGTGATGGGGAAGACAGTGAATGCATTTAGGCTGGGGAGGGAGATAGATTTCAGGCTCCTAGGCTATAACTAGGATAAGTCCTCTTCCAAAAAAAACCCCCCAGGTCTCTGCTTGACCATAGACACAGCGTTTCATCCCAGATGTGAGGTGGCTGCTTTCACACTGTATCCCCTGTCCCAGTGCTGAGACACGCAGGGAAGCTGGGAGGAGCGAACAGCATCCTTTCCCTGAAACCAGCCCATCTGCCATCATCCTAAGACTGAGACACAGTGGAAAGAATTGTCCGCTCCAGTCACTCTACCCGTTCCCATGCCCCAGCAGAGCAGTGCTGGCAGGAGTTGCGCTGTCCCCAGGAGCTGCGGGACAGCTCAGACACCACAGCAGATTGCTGGTGGTGGAGCCCTCCCCCCGGAGGGGCTGCACGCTGGTAACAAGCCACTTACTTCCTGGCACTCAGTTTAATTGTGAACGGGCATCCCCGGGGGTCCACCTCGAAGGCAGCGGGCTTGCTGCTGGCGGCGGGCCGGCACCCATACTTGCAGTGAATGAAGAGCTCTCCGATCTGCTCAGCCACCGCAATGTTGTTAACCACTACGGTCAGTTTGGCGTTGTCCACGGGGCACTTCTCTGCCAGGCAGGGAAGAAAAAGAGAGGGAGTCAGCAAGGGCAGAGACACCGCAGGAGATTTTATTCTTTTGTCTTCTCTGGCCAAGACGGCCAACTCCCAGACTGGTGACAGTGGGATAAGCCATGAATGTTCACACAAGGTGTGCAAGCCTCTATCTCTGGTTTGTCTTGGGGCTTGGTGAAAAGTTATGGTTTACGTTAATCCACGATAATTTGAGCTGGCTGCCAGTGAAAGAAGGCCACGCTAATTAGACTACCTTGTGCTTGCTGAAGTGTGAGAGTATTCACAGGCAGTGACCACAAATCAGCGGGTGCCCCACACATAACCCGTTCCCCCACCCAGGCCTGGGGCTCAGCTCCTCTGCTGCCAGCGGGGCACTGAATAGAACAGAACAGACTATTTCAGTTGGAAGGGACCTACAACAGTCATCCAGTCCAACTGCCTGACCAGTTCAGGGCTGGCCAAGTTAAAAGGTGTTATTGAGGGCATCATCCAAACACCTCTCAAACAACGACACGCTTGGGGCATGGAGCACCTCTCCAGGAAGCACTGCAGGCCAGGGATGCTGCAGTGAAGCAAAGGCATGAGCTTTGAGGGCAGGAGCAAAACCGAGCAACTCAGGATTGCAATTGCAAAGCCTTTTGCTACAAATCTGTTGGCTGGGATAGATCCAGCACGAAACGGCGACAGCATGCAAAGCAGAGAGACCCCTCACGTGTGGAAGATGAATATCTAACAGCAGAGAGAGCTGCTGTTTTGCTGGACTCCCCAGGGAGCCTCCTGAGGGCTCGCTGTTCTGGTAATATGAACGGCTTGGCTTTGCACTGAACAGCAGCTTTCCAAGAGGGGCACAGGCTTGTGCCAAATAAAGTCTTTTTCATAGCACAGAGTCCAAACCAAGTGGGAGCTGGTTAGGCCAGCCAGCAGCCAGACACTTGGGCTCCACCAGGTTTCTGGAAGAGCTGGGTGAGCTAAAGCAGCTCTGTGTGCTGCTGTGCATGGGCTCCATCAGCAGCCAGAGAGCTGGCACTAACAGGATGGGGGAGGAGGGCTTTGGTGGGTCTCTGCCAAACACAGCCCCCCTGTTCCTTAGACAGGCAGCCACAGCAAGCATTCTGTCTGAAATCAATGGGTCAACTCTGGGCGAGACATGTATTATCCTGGGATTATCCATTGCATATTCCAGGATTTGAGAACATCCTGTGCCCAAGAGCCGAGGCTAGCCCTGTGGTGCCATGCTACAACATATACCATCAGGGCTCAGAGCTGCACAGCCACCCGTGTCCCAGCCCCTCACTGCTGCAGTGGCAGCCCATCACTGACAGCTTCTTTTAAGCCCTCCAGACATCTTTCCGTGGGTTTCTTTTTAAATGAAAGCGAACAAACCAGCAAATAACAGTGTTTTGGCTGCATCACACAAGAACAGTTCTGTACTCACCAGATGTTAAGGCACATCTTCTACAAAACGTGTGCTGTGGAGACAAAGAGGAACAGCAGTGTCAGCGTAAACAACATCGGACAAATTATTCCCTGTGGCTAACGATGGGAAAGAAAGGTGGGAGATACCAAAGCCTCTGGCACAGGGGCCTCAGCAGCTGTTCTGCCTGCTTTATAGCTCAGCATGCCCTTGAGTCTGCACCACAGGGCAAAAACCAGCTGCTTGCTCGGGCGGCTAAGAGTGCAACACAGGTCCTGTTCCTGAGAAGTATTAAGCACACAGTCTGAAGCTCTGAGGGTTCTGCCCTGTTCAGGATCAGTCCGTGACCAGGTTGCAAGCCAAAGCCATGGGCATGCTCTGCCACACTCTGATAATCCTACCCTCCAAGCCTGCATGGGGTTTCTCTACTTCATGCTCCACTTTAGTCCAGGTCGGTCCTCTCATTTCCCTGAGAAGTTTTCAAGGGGAAGAGCAAGGGGAAATCTGGCCTCTCCCTGTCCTTGGCCACTCAGCCCATCACATATATCCCTCTGTAGCTCTTCTAACATAGCTGAAGCTGTCCTGCTGTCAGGTGGATGGGGCAGCTAGTTTGTAAGCCCATTAAATGCACTGTAAATTTTGCCATTTAAAATAGCTCTCCATCTCTCTATTCTTTACAGCAAAAATGTACAGCAACAATTCAACTTGATAAAGTAGCAAATTCAATCTAACATGCTAACGAATATAAAGGAACAAGGGTTGCAGCGTTTCACTCGTCCTGAACTCGCCTCGTGGGTTCCCTGGAGCCTCCTCGGCCACATGCCCCTGCCACAGGGCCAGCACTTGGCAGCAGCACTGGAGAGGCTGCAAGTCACTCTTCAGAGCTGTTATCTGCTGCCCTGCTCATGTGGCCTTTTCCTGCCCTGCACAGGCTGCATGGTGCTCTCTCCAGAGCCGCCAAACCAGGAGTGCAAATGAAGCTGGTCTGCTTCCTGCAGCAGATTTTTTTTTCCATATTAACCTGTAAATCTCAGTGTCTCTGTGAAGAGCTGCTTACTGAAACGGTGCAGCAAAACCATGCCAACTTCCAACACCTCTGGGGATAGCACCCTCACTGCAATAAACAATCCTGCTCTCTGCTTTTGTTGCTACAGCTCCATCCTAGCAATCAGAAGCATGTCAGAAGCATTAGAGAGCCTGTCACAAAGCCATCTTTCTTCACATGTAGCACAGAAACAGGAATAATATACAGTTTCTATTAAATCCCAGTAAAATGGAATATAGAAGAATATTCATAATACTCTGTGCCTTCCATTAGAGGATTTCAAATCCCTTTGCAAGCATTAACTAAATGAAGCTTCAAGCTATTCTTGTTTTATAAGAAACACTTTCTTAAAAACTGAAGAGCAGCTGCTCCTGGGGTGCCCAGGAGGCAGCACCACTCTGCAGAGCCCTTCAGGACAGGGAACGAGGAGCTTCAGACCTCACTGAAGCCACACCGAGGAGACTGAATGTGGCCAGGATAAGGAGGCTGACAGTGCAGCTCTCCTAGGAAAAGCCACGCAATTTTAAGTAAGGCCCAGGCTTCTCTGCCTAACTGCAGAGTGCCCCACATGCCCCTCTGCAGACTGCTTCAGAGCTGCCTGGTGGGGAAATCTGCTCCTGCGCTGCCCTGGCTTCCCTGGTCAGGGGCCACCTTGTCTTTGCTCACTCAGGGGACAGTCACTGGGGACAGTCAGGGCTTCGCTACAGGTCACACAGGACAGCTGTGGAGCTCATGAGTTGGAAGAGTGCTGCCTTACCCCACAGGTTGTGATGACTGGATCCTTAAACACACTACAGCACAGTTGGCAGCACAGCTTCACGGACGGTTGTTCAGCAAACACCAGTGGCTCCTGAAGAGGAGGAGAGAAAGGGACAGAGACAGCACAGGGATTAGTCCAAATGCAAGAGCCTCCAGCTCTGCAGAAGGAACAAAACAACTCTTCAGCGGTGAGCCTTGGGGAGCCTGGGGCACAGGGCATGCTAAGGGTTTCATTATCTCAAAAGAAACTTTTGTCTGGATCTGCTGACCTCCAGTATGTAAGGGGCAGAGGAAGAATGAACTTGGGAATGGCTGGAGACCCTCAGCTCATCACAAACTGTGGTCACCAGCACGTGGCGGGATCAGGACTTGACAGCAAACTGCACAGACCAACTTGTTTGCCAGTGACTCAAGTCACTAGAACTCTGCGAGCTGCACTGCCTGGTACTTTTTGCTTGGTTGGACTGAACAGTGCATTGTCAAAAACGTCCCTCATACTAAGCCTGAAGATTAAAAGCAATTTTAAAACAGCTTGCCCTTTTGTATTTTTGAAACATCCTGCAGGAAGGGCTCTTTCATTCCCTATGAAGCAGAAACAACATTGTTTCTGCTGCAATGGACCAATCACTCCGGTTTCGTTCACCAAGACTGCCGGAGCATGGGGTCTGAGCACGTCCTCCCTGAGAGGCACAGCTCTCCACTCCATGCCAGAGCAGGGTCTCACATTCCAGAGCATTTCAAATCAATCACTGGAGTTCGGTCTGTCTTTTCATCCTGTGCTGCTCTCAGAACTCCAAACACAACCCCCTGGGTTCCTAAATATGAAACACACGCTTTTATCCCAGATCTGTGGCAAAACGCCGCCTGACCTTTTACGCATCAAGTCTGGGGTTAGTGACTGGGTCACAAGCTAAGCTCAGCTTAAAAGTGTCCTCTCCCAACACAAGTCATATGTGGACAATTCCTTGCACCCTCCTGAATTCCTTGCACCCTCCTGGGGCTTACAATCAAGTCAGCGGGGTGCCACACAGCCCTAAATGCAGGACAGGGCTCTGAATCAGGGGGGAACTGTGTTAGTCTTGCTGCCTGGGGGTAGACCACCAGCCTAAAGACTCGCAACCCCCTACTGCTCTGCAGCAGAGCCAGGGAATCACACATGACTTGCTAAGACTTACAGTTTTTCTGAGCAGAAAAGCCATTTTCCCCTCTTTACATACGGGGAATGGTACACAAGGAAGCAAAGTAACTTAGAGAAGTCAGTAGTGGAAACAAAATTAAATCCAGGAGTCCTGACAGCTAGGCTTTTAGTTGCCAGGAATCATGAAAATCTGTCCATGATAGAGCTATGTACTCACAACAATCCATCAAGTTACTCTTTTGACACTGAATTTCCTAATACTGCTCCTTCAGACAATCCCAAATACCTACTGGCTCCTCCTCTTCCTCATGGAGCGAGAACGTCGAGCGCAAGGACATGTTGGACTCAGAGTGCAACGAACGGACGGAGATAGCAGAGTCAGAGCGGCGCGGGGTGCTGATGGGAGGCTTCAAAGAGAGCAAAACCAGTTCTCGTTACTGCAAATAATTCCCCCTCCCTCCAAAACCCTACACACAGAGACTTCAGCTTCAGCCCCCCCCTCTTCACAAACCCCAGCTGCTCCGTTTGTCCATCTGCTCTGCCAAGCTGCGCTGAGCAGCCCCTAGAAGCACCGTTTCTCGCCGCCGCGTGCCCTTCCCGGCAGTCGGGAACACGGCACCGTGCTCGGAGACGGGCCGGGCATCAGTCAGGTTTAACACTAAGCCAAGCTGACACCTGAATTCCAAGCCCGTGACTTTCCTAACGGTGCGTTCGTTTGTATACTTACCGTGTGCACAACGGTTTGGAAGAATGAATCCTCTCAAAAAGCCTTGGAAACCTCCCCCAGGGACAGCTACCAGCTTCTGCAGTTTCTACAATCTCTGCAGCAGCACTTGTTGTTTCACTCGCTATCTGACTTCTGCCAAATTTCTCTGCGTAAGTGTGGAGACTTCCTTCTATTCAATTCGGTAACAGACGGGCTCTGTCGCTTCCTGCTCGCCAGGGCAGAGCTAAGTGGACACCGCATGCACCAATCAAGAAAATTCCCACTGGTTACGGCGGCCTTGGGATTGGCTTTCAGGGAACGCCGCTGCTGGAATATTAACCAGCAGTGCATCTCTAAGGGTGGAATAGCAACCAGCAGCGCGTCGCCAAGATGCAATTTGGCATCGAAGCAAAACTGGAGACTCTTCAGATCACGGGGTGATTGGATTTGGGGGTCTAGAACAGGTGGTAGCACAGTCGCTGCTGGGTTACTCTGGAAGAGATGCTGCTGGCAGACTGGGAAGAGTGCAGAGAGAAGCAATAAAAATCTTCAAGTTGCAGAACGGATGGGCTGACAAAGAGATGGGAAAACGAAGCCATAAGCCTCATACCCTTAGCATCAAGAGATGACCAACGCCCAGGCTGCCCGCACCTCCACGTATGACACCTATACGTGACTTGATCGTAGCCTACGTCAGTCACGAACTCTTGGAAGCACCGTTTGGAAGGAGCTCTGGAGATCACTGGCTCTGCTGCCCACGTGAAGAGGGCCTCTCCCTGGCCCTGGCTCAGGTCAGCCCCAGCAATGCCCAGCTGGAACAGGGAGAGCTGCATGGATGAGGCTCTGCCACCCCGGGCTCCTGCCCTGCACTGCCTTGTGGGCAAATGGGCTTTTCCTCATGTTCAGTCTGAACCTCCGCCCTGGGGGAAAGCGTGAGATGTCAGACCGAGGGCAGACAAAAGCAGTGGAAGAGGCCAGTGGGGCAGCCAGGAAATTCAGCAATGCAAGATGTAAGATGAGCTTCAGAGGCTGCTGTCTTCCCCAGAGACAGACCACACTGCAGCCGGAGCACAGTCCTTGCTGTGCTGAAAAAGAGAAGCAGACCAGGATCCTGCTGGTTCTTCACACTGCTCTGCTTCTTAATTTTTATGATACTGGGATCCTGGGAGCTCAGAAATGCTGCATCTGCTTAGAAGCCAAAGCATAAAGCTCTTTTTCTTCAAGAAGGGATATTTATTTATTAGCTAAATATGTAAACCTTGACAAGGAACGGTTATAATGAGGTAAATCAATTTTACGTGTATCCATTAATTTTGTTATTTTCCTCCACTAGTAACAGAAGTTATTAAAATAACAGGAATGACTGTGCATAGTTCCCATTCTGGAGGTGACATAGAGATGAGGGCAGCAAAGACAGGCTCTGCAGGGAGGCAATTTTATCAAAAGCAACATCCTGTGTGGATCACCGACGGAGAGGAGGGGGGACTGCAGCCCAAGAGCACTTCCAGGAGGCAGGGGTGTGAGACACAGCCTTGCTAGGCTTGTGCAACACTGTGGGCTCAGCTCCCTGGGTCCTGGCAGGGCTAATGCTGGTGTAAACTACGCAGGAGGGAAGCTGATGTGCTGAGAAAGGTCACTCCACTCAGGCTGTAGTGACAACACTGAACGGCAGAGCTGTGCGCTGGTGTTTATTGCCCCTCTAGGTACCTGCAGCTCTTGTTTTTGCCAAGCAAACAAGGCTAAGACACGAGAGACCTCAGCTCTGCAGGGTCACTGCACTGCTTCCCACTCCTAGCCTGGCTTCTTGGAGCGAGCTTTGCAGCACTAGCCGTGGGCAGAGCAGGCAGCACTATGGGACTGACTGCAGGGTGCTCGTGAACCGCAAACAGAATAACAGAGCACGAAGGCCACAGGACCCCCAACCTACGGGCATCTGCCCAGGCTGGAGGGGACTTGCATGCACCGAAGCCAAGGGGCAAGGTGGCACAAGTGGCACTGCTTTGGACAGGCTAGGATTTGGGAGGATCTGTTGGAAGGGTCCCACCTCCCCACAGCTGCATCAGGCCTATTTCTGCACTAAATCATAGAATCATAGAATCGTTAGGGTTGGAAGGGACCTCAAAGATCATCCAGTTCCAACCCCCCTGCCATGGGCAGGGACACCCTCCACTACACCAGGTTGCCCAAAGCCTCATCCAACCTGGCCTGCAACACTTCCAGGGATGGGGCAGCCACAACTTCTCTGGGCAACCTGTTCCAGTGCCTCACCACCCTCAGAGTGAAAAATTTCTTTCTTATATCTAACCTAAATCTGTCCTCTTTCAGTTTAAATCCATTGCCCCTTGTCCTAGCACTACACGCCCTTGTAAAAAGTCCCTCTCCAGCTTTCCTGCAGGCCCCCTTTAGGTACTGGAAAGCTGCCAGTCCATCTTCTAACGGCCCAAGGATGGAGTGCTCAAACGTCTTTTGATGGAAGATGGATAGCTTGTGGCTGGCCTGTAACTCAGTCCAGCCTCTGGTTCAGGGGGGAAGCTCCCTGTAAACCAGAGACTTTGGACAGCCAGTCAGCTCTTCACCCATTAGCATGCATTTGCCCCAACATCAGCTGTAATCTCTACGTGCAGTTCCCATCGTGTCAGCTACAAAAGCAGCCTCCACGTGAAGGCTCTCGTACAGCCCTTGTTCCCGCTCCCTGCAGGCATAGGGAGGCTGGGAACCTGTGGCACTGTTTTCAGGAAAGATGACAGCAGTCGCCCAGTAATCCCCGCCTTGCACGCAGACCGCGCTGCTCTGCTTTTGGTTTCATTAAGAGAAGCTTTAAAAAGAAAGAAAGAGGGGTGGTGGATGTCACAGGAGGGCTCTGACTCGTCTCCAGCTGTCTCTCTGATGGCTGACAAGCCCTTGGCAGCTTCTGGAGATGGGAAAACTTAATGATGAGGAAGGGAAATCCCAGACGTGGCTAAACGTAACGTCCCCAGCACCCCCTGCTCCTCGGGAAAAATCCTCACCTGTGCTCTGTGGGGACTGTACAGCTCATGAAAAGGGTGCAGTGACAGCCTTCAGCCCACAGGACCAGTGCTGACAGCCAAGGGCTTCCTGGAGCGGTGGCCCAGCACCACGGGGTCAGCGATGTGATGGAGAGTGGCATTTGCCAAGGACACGAGGCAAATGTTCAAAGGACTTTTTGGAAAAACAAACACATGCTGACATAAAACACAGCAAGATCTCTGAGCAACAGAAGGAACTTTACAGGATGCTGACAATAAAGCTCTTTGCAATCTGGTGTCAAATTTATTTTAAGAAGTGGGGTAGCTTTATACTGTTGCTGACCCCAGTCTCTGCTAGTGCTGAACTTCAGCAGCAGTGATCCATTTATCCCTGGCTTGGAAGCTGGGTCTTGTCACCTGACAAAGTCTACAGCAACTTAATATGAAGAGTCTACTACTCACATCCTTAAATCTAAATAGGAGCTTGTGGTTATGAGATGTGGCTGGAGCACTAGGGACAGAAGATCAAGGCCTCAGAGCTATCTGTCCATTCACTGAGGTTTGCCTTCCTCTTGCTGTTCTTGATATGATTGATTTAGCTAATTGAATTTCTCTTTAAGCAGCTAACCCTGAGGCCTGCTGGATCACTAAAGTCCCCAAGAAGAAGTTACTCAGAAGTGAGTGCGATGAGTGAGAAAGCTGGGCACAAAACTGGAAAGTGGCACAAAACTGGAAAGTGCTTTTCCACAAAGACATTGTGAGACATTGGAATGGTTTGTGCGAGAAGACCCCGATGATGTAATCCCCAGGAGCCGAGCACAGTCTGTGGCTCTGACATCCCCTTCCGCAGGTTTCCAACCTGCTCCCTGTGGTCAGAAGCCCCATCTGGAGGCAGAAAGAGGAACGGATTTTCTACTCAGGACTGCAGGGCAGCTGTGCTGCTGGATGATCCATCCAACACGCCCCAGACATCGCTGACAGCAGCTCTGTTTTCTCCCGAGCTCGGCAGAGCCGGAGCACACTGCTGACATCAGGAGGCAGGCACATCCTCACGAGCAGGCCTGTGGGATTTGCAGCTCCTGGGCTTTGTAACCACATACCATTTTCAAGCAGTCTGAAAACGAGCACCAGCAGTACCAGCCTAAAGCCCCGGGTCAGAAGTAGCCTCTGCTTCCCCCCTGCACCAACCGTGGGAGCGGCCAGGAAATGCTGAAGCTGGTCCTGCCTCTGGTGCAGACATCTGCCTCCAATGTAACGCAGTGCACGGGAATGATGAGGGAGGCAGAGAAGTCCAGAGAAGCATCAGACATCTCTCATTTGACATATAACCAGCTAAGAGGGTTCCTGGCAACACCTACCATGCCATCGTCCTCATCTCGTGGGGAGTAGGTGAGCGTGCTGGAGGAGGATGGAGTCCGACGATGCTGTTTAAAAGTATTGGTCCCGTCAGCTTTAAAAAAAAACAAAACAAAGCAAGCATTTAGGTTCCTCAGCAATATTTGCAAGCTACCAGTCAGTCTCTGTAGCTGTAACTGTTCCTTGGAAAAGGAAAAGACTAGGGAGTCCCCAACTCCAGTTCTTGACCTGGACATATCAGTGCAGGCAGAACAATCCTGATCTCTGACAGCTCACCAAAATGCACGCGGCACTCTGAAGGCAGCTTGCCCAGAAAAGAGCACAGACAATACTCCACCAGGTCCATAGGTTAAAAATACTATTGAAAGGAAACCTTATCCTCCCACATATCTCAGTCAACAACAAAAATTGCTTCCATCAAGGGAGTCTGGATATTCTTGTAGCACAAGGGAAGTATGCTAAATTAAATTGGAGATATTTGTATAGAGATCACATTACTGACTTACATAAAATTTTTCAATGTAAATACTCAAGAGTCCAAAAACATCTAGAGTCCAGAATCCTGTACAAATGTAATCCAAACATTTCTCCCAGGCTGATGTTCATTTCCTTATCTAAATCAGTGTCAAATGCCACAGTTTATCTTTACTAAAGTAAGGATATTTTTATTCCAGAATGAAACCTGACCTCTTCCTACATTCACACCACGTGCCGGGGCTCAGACTCCTCACCTGCTGGCTTTGAGGAATAAAGCACAAGAATTTTAAATGAGCAGGTACACTTGGATCTTCTCCTGTCTGAGCTAAAAATGGCCATGGGGGTTTTACCCAAGTGTCCAGAATGACTCACAGTCAGGCAGAGAGTGAAGATGGGAGCTTTCAGTGCTGGTAATGATTCCATGAAAAGTCACAGGGATAAATAAGATTTGGGACTGAGCTCTGTATCAAACCCTATTGTACTATCCTGATTTCAGCAAGGGATTCCCAGTGGTACTGTTAAGTCTGCCTAACGGGAGAAAATTCCTGTGCATGCTCATTTCCATCCTGCCTGCTGATCAGATGCTCTGATTAAGTAACACTTGGGCTGCATAAAATACTAAAACCAGCACCGCAGCACCTGTCTGTAATGAACACAGTGATTCTCCTAACAGCTTTATGATTTGTAAAACAACAACAACAACAGAGCTGTAGGACTCACACATAGCACTTCGGGGAGAAGCTCTGCGCACGAAATACACTCACCCTTTGTGATGGTTGTCACAGCAGAGTAGGCTGGCCCAAAAGTTGTTTCCATTCTTGTCTGAAATATTGACAAAACGAAGGTCAGTGTGTACCACCGCAGCACAGCCCAAAGGCTTGCTATCCTTCCTGAACGGGTGAAAAAATGTACATCCATATTCCCAACTTTAATCAGCAGATATTGTGATTTTTAAGTGGCAAGAAAGTATAGAATCATGGAATCACAGAAGGGTTTGGGTTGGAAGGGACCTTAAAGATCATCCAGTTCCAACCCCCCTGCCATGGGCAGGGACACCCTCCACTACACCAGGTTGCCCAAAGCCTCATCCAACCTGGCCTTGAACACTTCCAGGGACGGGGCAGCCACAACTTCTCTGGGCAACCTGTTCCAGTGCCTCACCACCCTCAGAGGGAAGAATTTCTTTCTTATATCCAATCTAAATCTCCCCTCTTGCAGTTTAAATCCATTGCCCCGTGTCCTGTCACTACACGCCTTTGTAAAAAGTCCCTCTCCAAAAGTACCGTATTTTCAACAGCCATCTTTGTTTTCTCAAAAGCAAGGATGAGAACACAAGCAGCAGCCCTAGGTGCCACCCTCTGCCAACAGCACCAAGCCTCACCCCGTTAGTGTTTTCGGAAGTAGTGATGTTTGTTGTGCCACTGGAGAAACGATTGTAGCGAGCGTTCTTGTTTGAGCTCATAATCTAGGCCAGCATTTGTTAGTCATGGGAGGTTTGCTCTGTGGGAGAAGAGAGACAGAGAGTTGGGTTAATCGTACCTATCTTCCTGGGCTCAGAGAAGGCTCTCCTGTAGCATTAAGTCCAAGTATTTAACTAAGCTCACATAAATCTGGATTTTCAGGAGCAAGTGGCAAGGTCAAAGTCAAGTTCTTCCAAATCACTCCTGCATGACTGTTCAGTATTTTCTTGAAGTCCGGTATCTTTTGAAATGACTCCCTAATCACTGGAATACCCGTAACCATTAGCTGCTTTTACAAGCATACAGCTGTTTTAACAGCAGATGAGACTCCTCGGGAGACTCTTCTAGGACGGACAGCATCCCACTGGCCACCATACACACCAGTCTGTTCAAAATGAGAGTATACACCACAGCACATACTGACAGTCCCAGCAGAGAAGAGTCCTGCACAGGTCCTGTACCTGGTCCTCTGTCGCTTGCTCCCCAGTTTGAGCGCAGTTCCGAAAGCGGGCTGCCTGCTGCATCCCAAAACACTTTGCACAGAGCAGTGATCAGTAAGTGGGGTCCTACAACGGAGCCCCCTCCCCCAGACACAGCCACGGCGAGCACAGAGTGAACTGGTGGAAGGATTTTGGCTGAAGCCACAGACACAAGCTCGATCTTACAGCATGCTGGGGGAGCTGTGAGTGTGCTGAGGGCAGAAAAGGTCTCGGTGTAAAGCTATACCAGTAAAACCATTATCCCATTAACTAGGAGGCTCACGTTGAACTGGCCTGGACCCCAGAGAGCTCGTTGACTCTCAGCTTTGCAGCTTAGGCCACTTTCCGAGCATAGGATAGAAACATCCCATTCAGTCCCCCATGGCTTTGCTGCAGCTCAAGGGGTTGTGACTGTCTTCCTCCCCCCAGGACCACCCATCCCTGGATGGAGAGGTGCCCTGGAAACTCAGCAGCCCCACGTCCTCATCAGCTGGGCGGCAGAAAGGGATCCCTGCGAGGGAGTCTCTTTCCTCGGCAGGCTGTGTCACACTTTCTGGCACATCCAGCCAAGGAAACCAAACCTAAACTTCTCTGCGCCCCCAGAACTTAAGGCTGCCTCATGTTCCAAAGCGTGAGGAGCACAGGCCTCATCCTGTTCTTGGGAGTTTTGCTATTTAGTTCAAAAGCCCTGGACTGTAGTGCTGAACACAAAAGCCACAGCTAGAGACGTAGTGTTTGCACTCCCAGCCTGTCCCAGGAGACAGGGACCCCACGCTACAGGGATAAACCACTCAGGAAGGATCCTGATTAAGAGACCCGTTTCAGCCCAAGGTGTAGTTAAGCCTTGGTGCTCTCACTGCCAGCAGCAGAGGCCAAGGGCTAAGCAGATGGACCAGCCAGACATCTGCAGGGAGAACAGACAGGCCAAAAATGGTTTACTAAGACACAACCAAACCCCTTTTTTGCAGGACAAGAGCCAACCGCCAGCGAAGCCTTGGAAGAAACACGCCACAGATGCCTGCAATCAACCGACGCAGAGCGCCCAGTCCCTTCCAGATGTGCTCGCTCCTGGCCCTGGCTGAGATGGCACCGCTCTGGCCAGGCTTTGGCACTCCTGCTGCTCACATTTCCGACTTCTGGGGAGGTGAGGTGCCTTGGGTGTTCCTACCAATTGGTTTTCTCTTATCTGAGAGTGACAAGTCCTAAATCTCCAAGCTTTTTATAAAGCAAACCACTGTGCTTCACAGACAGGGAAACTGGGGCTCACAGAGACAATCATGCAACGCAGCCGTGACCTGGCACTTGCCCAGGGCCACCTCAGTCCCAGCCCAAGAGCAAACCTGCCTGCCCCACGAGCCCCGGCGTGAGGCTGCCTGCACACAGGGCCACTCACGTCCCACACTCACGTCCCACACTCACGTCTGAAACACTGCAAGGGCGATGCTCAAGCTGTCTTCTGCCAACGCTCTGCTGACGGCCGACGGCTCAGCCACACCGGGCACAGCACTGCGCGTCGCTCGCTGCGGGTCTCCGTCGGACAACTGCCAGGCAGCCAGACTGCAGCAGCAGCGCAGCCCAGGGAATCACTCCTCAAGTCTAAACTCTCCAAAAAAGTTACAGCCTAAACAAAAAACCAACCAAAACCAACACCACAAAACCCCAACCAAAACCAACCAAACAAAAACCCTGAAACCAAACCCAAGACCATCTGAAAAATAGGGATGTGGATAATGTTTTCCACACATTTGAAAGCGCTGTCCTGGCTGTTTGCAAATGCCAGATCCCTTAGGAGATGCTAAGCAGAGCTGCTGGAGCTGTCTCAAGAACAGCAGGAACGAAGTCGTGTTGTGCTGCTGCACCGTGGAGACCTGCTGAGTTTAAAGCCGGGTTCCAGACAGGAAGAGGTTTGGTGTTGGCTGTCAGGATCCTTTTATGCCCCAGTGCTTCCTTGGAGCACAGACAGCAGAAGGCACGGGGAGGTGGGTGTGGGGAAGAGGGTGGACAAAGCTTTTGGCTAACACACTGGCCGTGGCCTCACAGATCTGAACACCACTCAACCTCTCACTCTTCTGCAACCTCGGGCAAGCCCCTGGAGCTCGCTGCCTCCTCCCTGCACGAGTCTCTTTAGTTTACCTCTTCTGCACAGCATCTTGGAATACAGAGCCTGAAGGTGAAAGAAGCTTTGGATATGTGCACAGCATCTAGCACAAAGAGGTCTGCACCTTAGCTGGAGCCTCCAGAGGATGCAGTGCTCATAAATAACGTAAGGCAAGTACTTCCATGAGGGATGACAGAAACTGCCACGTTTCCTGCGATTTCATGTCTCAAGGTTGCATTATCTCATGTCTAGTAACATGTATGTATCCCTAAAGTTCCCCCCTCATACAGCTTCCCTACATCTAACAATGCAGCTAAGCTCACCAATTTCTCCTCTGGAGAAGGGATTCAGCACTCTCCTCTTCCTCCCACGACAGGGTGGAAACCGAGGGACTCACTTTTCAGGGCTATGAACTCATGATTCCTTCTTCAGAGAACCTCAGCAGCACCTACCCAAACAGCCTCTATCCTGCACAACTCACGAGACAAGAGCAGGGACATGCTCCCACCTCACCAGTCATGCCCACATCAAGAGAACCTCACATATCTAATATTCCTACTGCATTTTAAGGCAAACAATCACTCCCAGATGGAAAAAGAGGCAGCTCATCCTTATGGAGGATGATGGGCTGTCTGGAGACTCAGACAAAAGCTTCATTCCCTTCTCACTTTCAGGATATGCATTCCCTTCATACCTAACAGATGGAGACTCAAAAAAAGCAGTGGGAAAGCACTCGCTGTGGATCACAAAAAGACAGGAAGAAACAAGAACGAGGACAACCAACAGTCTGAGTAGTTCTGTAACAGCTTTAAACACAACATCAGTGACACACGGGCACGAGCTCCTGCAATCGGTCAGTTATGGCCTGGCAGCCAAGGACGAGTGCCAACTTTAAACGCAACATCAGTGACACACGGGCACTTGAGCTCCTGCAATCGGTGAGTTATGGCCTGGCAGCCAAGGACGAGTGCCACGCTTTAAATAACTGCCCTGAAACTTCGGTGCAGGCCAGGAGGTGCCTGCTGTGGCACGGCTCATGGGGAACCCAGCAGGCCACAGAACTGCCTACTGCAGAGAGGCATTAGGGAGGCACGTCTCCAGTTTCATCCTGCCCCAAAGCCCCGCTGAAACAGATGCAAAACTCCTTTCAGCTTCAACAGATCTTGGATAAACTCAAAGCGAGGGAGGCAACATGGGCTGGAATACAAGGAATTTCCACTCGCTGTTTATAAGCATGTCCTGTGCTCTGCAGCTTGGCTGAACAACCTACCTGCAAGCAGCAGCTGGGAGCCTGCTCCGGGTCTTCTCTGCACAGAAACCAGAAGGAATGCGAGCAATGGAAAAAACGTCGAGTGGAATGTCAGCCAGGCTGCAGACCACCAGCCACCACGCCAATATCTGGTTTCAGCCCAAATGTCTGTGACCACCATACATCGAGAGCATTTCTATAGAGCAGACACCTCTCTAGAGCACTGACAGCTCCTTCACATCTCAAGCAGTCTCCCAAGAGGTGCTGAGAAAGGCCTTTTCCAACCGACATCAAAGGAGTTAAAAGGAGGCAGAAACGAGCGGGTGTCCTCAACATTGATACCAGCTTCCTACAGCACTTGCAAAAATCCCCACCAAACCTTTGAACCTTGGCTTGGCATCTGAACCCTGTGCCCCCAGGCACCCCTCCTGGGGGGCTGGTGTCCCTCCCGGGCACCCTGCACTGGCCGCGGGCAGCTCCTGCCCCTGCTCTGCAGCCCACGAGGTCCAAGCAGAACCACGTCCTGAGGAGACACAGACTATGACACAGAGAAAGCATCGAATATTTTGTGTTACAAAACACGGGCGCTCTGTAACCTAGAAGGAAAATCCAGATTTACTGGAAATTACAAAATCCTTTGGGCCGCTAAGTCCTTCTCAGATGACCAAATACAAAGGGGCTCCAGAAATCCCCTGAGCATCTCCAGCAGCTCTGCAGAGCAGCAGGTCGGAAGCCCTCATGCTGGAAACACTCTCCTGATTTTCCAGCCCAGGACACTACAGGGTGAAGTTATGACTTGCAGCAAAAAGGGTTGCAAAGGCACCCTGAGGCCTGCAGAGAGAGGACAGGCTCTGTCTGCTCGGAAAGACAAGAACTTGTGTGTCCCAGCAGCACAACAGCACTGGGCTGCCCTCTAAACCAGACAGACATGTGGACTCGTGCGTCTGGAGATGGGCTTGGGAACCCAGACTCCCTTTGCCTAGAGTTTAAAAAAAAAAAAAGACAAAAATTAACATGCAACTTTAGTGGTTTTGACAGTAAGAAAAGAGGGGGAAAAACCTACCCTGGACAAAGGCAGCTGTGGGACCCACTACTGGCTAAATCACAGAGCTGATAGCGACCAGACACGGGAGAGCAAGGGCTGGGCTTCAGCATCTGCACACCACAAGGATCAACTCAGGCTCTGGAGACTCAGCGAGAAGAGAAGCCTTAAAATT